TTTTATGTTCTTACTTTTAGAGAAGATTTATGTAATTCAGCTGCTTAGGATTAACAAGCAGCTACCATTAGCAAAAGCTGGATATTAGAAGGCACAAATCTCATGATGAGCTATGGTGGCCTTGAGAGATGCTAATGCCTTTGTTGGTGCAACTAGGATTGGGGCAGAAATCCTTGGCTTTGAGATTGATTATGCAAGCAGAGGCACACAGGCAGATATGGTCACATTTAAAGAGGCTGAAAGCTGGTTGGTTATTATAATAATTGGAAATTAGCCAAACTTCAAAGTCTAGCACTAGCATTGCCATCTATTTGGTGGAAGTGAGATTTTCCTAGGTTTAGAATTCTTTTAAGGGTGGGTGAAATCTGGTGGCAGTAGCCTCTCCTGGGTCTTCAAAGTCCTGGGCAATACAAACTAGTGATCAATGGGCTTGTAGATCCAATTTAACACTTCATCTATGGAGAGCCACAAAGCTTGCTGTTCATAATTAATTAAACAAATTTATTTGAGTGTATTATTTAGCTAGACCCACACTCATGTAGGAGATATGAGCATGTACTTGACAAAGAACACAAAATGCCACATTCTGGAACTATTAAGAACATGATTGTATTTCAATGTGAGAGCTTTTATCTTATTAAAGCATTTTAGCGATTAATCAAATACCTATATTAGGAAGGTCTTTCCTTCACATAATTTTATTATTGGTTAAACCTTTAGGGGGATGGTAGTGAATATACCTAAAATATGCTTTGATATTCTTGGATATTCTACCATCTAACAGTTGTTATTCATTTAGATTAATCTTACACTTATAGATTATAAACATGTTTGTAGTTTATAAACTTTCATGAACACTTTCTAGTATATTATTTTTTATTCTACCATGTAATGGTTGATATGCAATAATATTAGTCTTGTTTTTTAATTATAAACTTCCATTTAATCAATTGGATTAATAATAGGAATAACACTACTATTAAGCAAACCAAGCATTACTGCATGTAACAGGAAGAAAAAGTTTTAGAATATCCAAGAATATTTAAATTTATAATCAGGTTCAATGCTAATTATATATACTTAGATCTAATATAAACCATATTCTGTTTAGAGTTCATGTTTAAAGCATTGTAAAGCATTAGAGAAGAAACCTATAATGTCAGAATAGTACATGGCCTTGGGGACACCAATTTTTGTGGTGTATAGATTGAGGCACTTGGATAGAGCAAAATCACTCTTTATGCAATTCTCTCTGGTTTTCATAGTAACCTATAAACAATAGTGTTACAAGATAGTAGAGGTTGGAGTGGCATTCCATTTGCCTTTGGCAGGCTAGAGCTTTGTGCAAAACAGGTGCCTCATCAATCAAGCAATAGATTTGTTTGTGAATGTGAGAAATTATATGCAATTAAACAGATCCTTGGCTCAATCAATCTTGTGCTTGTTTGCAAATGCCATATTCCACCTCTCACAGCTACATATGTCCAAACTGGTGATTTTATTCTCTAAGGAAGATCTTTGAGATAATGCCCTAGTAAAGTGCTTGACAAGACTTTGATCACTTCAAGTCACTCTAGCCTGAGGTAGTGATCTTAAATGAAGTTTTTTCAATGGCAATTTCGATCACTTATAGTCAAATTAGTGAGATCAACATTAATTAATTTATGTAGTTTACTATTTACTTTACTATAATTAATTTTTTGTTTTCTAGTGGTTTTTATATAGAAGTATATTCTCTCACAAATAGCAAGCCATAAAAATAATCAATGCAAACCTCTCCCAAGCTTGATGGAGCTTTCTAGGTTAAAGGCTGTGCTTAGAGCATCAATGCAACATATTTACCATCTGTTTACAGATGGTAAACTTTCATTGACAGCTTTGGATGGCTGAGACCCTTATTAACAATTCATTATTATTTTTTAAAAATCTCTTGCACTTTTTTCACAAATCCATTTTTGTATTGAGTTGTTTTTCAAAAAATCTTTGAATCTAAGGTTATAAGAGTTTGTTCAATTGCAATTGTAATTTTTCTGTCACACCACCACATTGAGGCTTGCCTCACAGTCATGTACTAAATGCCACCACATGTCATCTGCATGCATGATTGATCTGGACTTTTTTGAATGGCAATAATTTAACGTAAAAGGTAAAGCTAAAAAGACATTTGCAATTTATTTCACAAACATTCAATGAGCTTATTCCTGAACATAGGGATGAATGTTTAAAGCATTATATACTTTAAAATCATGCCCAAAAACTCTAGCAAGTGCACTTTAATTTGTTCTGGTGGACTACTATACATTTTTGCATACCTTGAATCCTTAACTCCTTTGCTAGAAGCATAAGTGAAGAACTTAACAACATGGGACCATGCCAAATTAGGTGTCATCACTCTGAAAGTGCCAAAATCATTTGCTAGATGCTAAAATTCAATCATTAGATGTTACTTCCATTTTAGGGTTGAAATTAAAGTTCTTTTGAAAAAAAAACAGCCACCCTTCCAACTGAACACGATCAGCAAAGGTTGGGGTCCCAACTGAACATGATCAGGGCCTTGAAGATCAAACTTGGAGCTGCCACTGGCAAGAATCTTGTGGATATGCTTCCAAAGTTTCTCATATAAAACATTTACATCTAAATACCCAAAATGTTTGTAACCAAATGCCTATCGCACAGTGGAGGAAAGGAGTATTACAGATCCTAGGGTCCTTGCATAGTGGATCACTATTGTCCAACTCTCCACCATCACAGCTGCACTATCTGCCACGTTCTCCACCATTGTAGCAGCCACACTGCTATTCCACTGAGAACTTGAAGACCAGCCTCATGATCTTCACAGTAGAGAGAGAGAGTGCATTATCAGCTGCCACAAGAATTTCCACATCGTCTCAACACCAAGACCTCCAATGGCCACTCCTCCACAGCCAAGCCAAGCAAACATAAAGAGTAGCGTGGAGGACTAAAGTCCCTCTTCGATTTCTAGCTGGTGTGAAGGAATGCTACTACTTGAGGAATTGCAGCAGTGCAACTAGGATCTGCATCGACGGCCAGAACAAATCTGGACATACCATCGCGCCTGCACTGGTATGGCTAGAATCTAGAATACTATTAAAGAATTAATTTTGACTTGTTTTTTATAAAAATTAATTTCTGAGGTAAAATGCAACCAGTATATCTTCAGATAGTACCAACCCTAAATCCTGAATAGGGCTGGCGCGAGCGATGGCGGAAGAGGTTTCAGGAGGTTTAGCAGTCAAAGACACAGATCCATCGCGGAAGGGTAAATTCACTCGAGTGTTGGGTGTTCATTGCGCATCTTCCCCGAGGGTGATGTCCCCACTTCCGAGAGCCCGAGCTGGCCGGTGTATAGAAACCGGGCCATACTCAAGGAGGCCATTCGCGCAACGCACAGGCTCCACAGTGTGGATGGTGGGATGATGGCTCACTTCGGCAGTGGCGTGGCGCTCAGCCCACATTTCCTCCTTACGTCTGCTCGTGTGGCCAAGTTGTCTTCCCGGTGCCTAACCGGTGACTTTGTGCGATCACAGCACTTCTCTATGGCCGAAAGGCCACGCTACAATCTGGAAACCATATCCAGGGACGAAGGCTGCGACTTTGCGCTGATGCGTGTCACGACTTCACGCACTGAGATCTTTGGCGCAGTTCCAGAAGAGGCAAAGCTGCTTAGATCGTTCCAGTACTTCCTGCTACCGTGCTCCCCAGTGGACAAGGCGCCGTGCTGCATTACTTCCTTTCCTGGTGTGAGCTCGCTGTTGGTGCGAGCGGCTGCGGAGCTCTTGCGCAGGAACAGTGAAGGTGGCGCAGAGGGTCTCTGGGGCATCTACAGGGATGCAATGGAGGCGGAGTTGATGGAAGCTCGAGCTGTGTTCCCACAGGGGTCGCAAGGCGATATCGAAGCCTTCGCCAAGAAAATGCTCTTCACCAAGTTGCATCAAGCCTTTGGCAACCACGCCACGGGAGTCCAGACTGCATCAATTGGAAATATACTGCGCTGCGCTCCTCTGGATCCGAGTGGAGGACGACTTGCAGTACGCTGTGTGGAAGCTGTGGAGCGCCGGTTTGTCCCATCAAGGAGTATGGTCACTTCTGCGCTTGGCATGCTGGAGCTGCTGCGGACCATCTGGCAAACGGGGCAAACAGCTGCGACGAGCGTGTCTTTGTGGAGGCATATTTCCAGAATGTGCTTGAGGATCTTCATGCACCAGAGGACGGCATTTGGAAAGATTCGGATTTGCGTCCTTTTTTCCAGTGGATTTTGAAGCATGAGCAGCATTGGTGCCATCTCAAACTCTCGGGTGGTGCCTTGAGATGGATTGAAGCTGCCAAGAGCCTCGAACCTCCTGCAAATAAGAAGCTCAAATCTTAAAGTTGCCAAGATTGATCACACTGAAGCAGTCGAAGTTTCTGACCATCGAAGAAAGAACTTCCAAAGGAGTTCTCTGGCCTTGTAGCGTTGGGACCAGCAGCTGAAAACATTAGAGCCTTCGTATGAATCAAAAGAACGAAGCCGCGCTACGGAAACTACTTTGTGTTTTTTCCAACTCTTGTTCTCTGTAAGTAGAATTTCGCCCGTTAATGCTTTCACGGATTGTATTCTTGTCTTGAACAAACAAGGAAAACCGAAGCATTGGAAAGATTAAGCTCTTCACTTGCGAGGAACGGTACGCAAGCATCCGATTGATCATGAAATGCTGACAAATCTGGCGATGGAGTTGCTTGTCACTTTGTTGAGCTCGTTGGATGAAATGCCTAGTCCAAAAGCTTTGACAACAAGGCCGTCACATTTTCCTACCAGTAATCCCTCATTATCGGAATCACAAAGATTCAGCTAACCACGCAAGGAGATAAATTTTAGTGTGGCGGATTCCACAGGCAACCTCGACTTCATGGTCGAGTTGTCCAAATGCTCCATCACCACAGGTGAAAAGCTCCCCGGATTCTTGGAGAGAAAAGCAAAAAAGGAAGAAAAAATCACAAAGGAAGAAGAACAGATTGATCTATTACAATCTTATCAGGGTGACAAATGCAGATACTTTGCAAACGTGTGACCTCTAAAAACTTGTAGCAGCAGCATCATCGCCCCCGTGACCGATCAAACCTCGCCCCCACGTTGCTACACGCCTCCCATATGTCAAAGAAAATCCCGCAAAATCTTGACTTATAGATTGCTCGGTTGTCACGTCCACCATCCCATCAACCCCGCCACCTCGAATCTCTCCGTCCAGCTCCATGAAAATGGGAAGAAACGTCGGGGAGGGATCAAGTTCTTCCACGAATCCTCCAAGCTTGTGGCCAGAAATCTTGCGAGCTAGAATAAGCGTGACAGAATTAAATAAAAATAGAAATGACGTGGACAACAAGGCGTTGACGTGGCAGTTGGGACTACTAAAAAGTTCTTTCTAGATAGAGGGCAATGCCGCTTTCCTCTCCAAAAAAGGTGGTGGACTCTTCCCTCTGTGTCCCTCTGGGCGAAAGCTTTTTCCTTTCTTGCATGACAAGCAAGTGTGACTGTTCTCTGACTGAAGGCTAAGTGCTCAAGGACCTGACAGATGGGGATCACTGCCAAAAAGAAGAAGAAAAAAAAAAAAAGTCCAAAAAATTTGGGAGAAGAGAAGTCCTCTTCACACACTCATGCTCCATGACTGCTCTACTGCTGCTGGAGCTCCCTGCGCTGATGGTGACCATAGTGGTGGTGGTGGTGGTGGTGATGGTGGTGCTGCCTTCGCTCCATTCTCTGGAGTAAATCCATCCCCGGGATGCCGCTGGTGGTGGCGGCCACGGTGTGGCAATTGGAGGCGATGAAATCGGCCGTGTCCAAGCTGGTCACAGACCCCTCGGAGCTAAACGAGTTGCTACACGAAACCGGGCTGGCCACGCGAGGAATGGCGACGGCGGGGGTGGCGGTGGTGGTGGTGGCGGCGGCGGCGGTGGCGGTGGCGGTCGTCAAGCTGATGTTCGTAGCGTTGTTCTTGCGGGGTGGCAAAAACAGCTGCGGTGTTGGCGGGTGCGAGCTGAGCGTCAGATCTAGGTCGATGAGCTCCTCATCGACGGCGGAGATGGGCTCCAGTTGGCAGAGCCCCGGGCGGGAGACGCGTGGCCTCCTCGCCACAGGGGCAACAAGCTCGGCCGCTTCCTCTCTCTCCCTCTTCACAGCTACCAGCAATGGGCGATCCGACGGCCCCGATCGCCCGCCCAGGGTGACGTGTCCCACATCGCAGCCGCCGGCCTTGACGAGACTCTGGCTCTGGTGGTGGTGGTGGTGGTCGAGCGCTTTGAAACGCTTCACGTCATTGTGGTGATCCGGGGCCGGGGGCTGCGGTGGTGATGGCGATGGCGATGGCGATGGCGTGGCGGATTTGATGTGGAGCCGGGGGAGATTTGGCATCGGGCCATAGCAGGGGAGATTCGATGGAGAGCTTCCAGCGGGCTTGAGCGATCCGCCGCGAAGAACAGTGTCCACGGCGGCTTGGCAGACGTGCCAGTTGCCCGACCAGAGAAGGCCCACTGCGCCATAGACGGGATTCACTGTTCTTCCACAGGCCTCGTAGAGGAGCGACCGGAAGAGAGCTGCCAAAACCAATCCAGACAATGCAAGTCATGATTCCATCGCGGGGTCCAAAGACTTGGGAGGGAGGGAAGGAGGCTTACCTGGTCTCTGATTCTCTGGGACGGCGGCGATGAAGCCCATGAGCCCCGCTCGTCCGAAGAACTTGGCGACGAACACCGTCGCGTGGCCCTGCGCCTCGGCGCCCTCGATCCACTGCAAGCACGGCCTCAAGGCGCAGCTATCGCTGCATCCCTTGCGAAGAACCCGGCATCCGTTGCAGCTCATCGCGTGGAAAAATGGTCTCGCAATTCCAGCGACAATCTATCTATCTACCTCGATCTTCCCTCGGCCAAGAGGAAGATTTGGCACAAGTCCTCCGAAATATCGATCCAAACCTCTCCCGGCAGGAGCAAGAAGATTGGAAGCACCGAAATATCGATCCCAATCTCTCCCTGGAAGCAAGGGAGGAGCGGTAAGGAGAATGGAAGCACCAGACCTACGAAATATCGATCCAATCGGCTGGATCGATCGGCAGCGCGCGCGGATCGGAGGGAAAGAAACTAGCTCGAAATCAAGGCGCGCCGCGACAAACACCTCCTCCTCTTCCTCCGGAATCGCTGGCGTCTGGTCGCCGCATTCCAGAATCACTGTTCTTCCTGGCGCGGCGCGAGGAGCCCTCGCAAGAGAAAGAGAGGAAAAAAACAACGCTGTAGAACGATGGCGGTCTCTCCCCACTCTTCGGCAAGAAAAATGCGACACAACCCTACTACCAAAACTGGTTAAATTTTAGCCCATTTCTATGGAACCAAAGAAATACACACTTTTTCGATCGTTTCGCCGCGCGAAGATTCCACCGGTGGAGTAGGGTGACCGCCCGATCCAGATCCAACGGCTATTAACGCGACACGCAACTTCTTGGCTCGGCATGTCGGCAAGTGACGTGGCAAGGGCGTCCGATATTTACCCCAAGGTCAACACGGCATGTGCGCGGTAAAATGTAGCTTACATGGTATAGGAAAAACAATTTAAATTTCATGCTTTTCAAAAAGAGAGGGGAGGACATTGACACTGAAAATTACCCACCGGCAACATCTCCGCTCCGGCTACCCAGCGCATCCATCCGTTGATTCGGTGGATCCAACGGCGGTCAGGTGACCGTCCCGTTTATTTGGCGGTGACGTTGCGACGAGGACCACCACCACCGCCCTAGTACACGTGGACTAGCCCCAACTTTCCCTTTATTTACCCTTCTTTTTACCCGGCAACGTGGAACCCGTCAAAATAGACCACCAGCCCGGTCCAGCGTCGGTCGGTCCCTTTCCATTTCCCACTTTCCGGGGGAGGGACTAGCTAGGGTTTATACGGAGAAGCTTCCGGGAAGATCCTTTTCCCCGTTATTTTCCCTTTTTTTTTAAAAACGAGACGCGGCGCATCTTGATTCAATCCGCAAAGCCTTGGAAGAGGAATAATACAAAGGAAAGAACTATATCAAACAAATCATGTACATAAAAAAAACAAGAAAAGGTGGCGGAGTCCGGACGGCCGCCAACTTTTTCTTTTGTTAATGCTTTCTTGTGGAAAAGAATTTTCAAGCGAAAGGGCGGCATATTTCCAGTACCACTGCCAGTCAAATGCACTAATGGCCTAGGTTTGGTATGGCTCACCTTCCGCCACTTGAGGAAGGCTGGGCGTACGGGCCGTACCCCTGCCGTATTGGTACTGTCCACCAAGATTTGATTTCTGGCCATACGGCCCAAGCACCACTTGCCTGGAGGAAGCTTGATCCACGAGCAGCAGAGGGATTTCGACTTTGAGTGCGATGTGATGGCGCAGCACGAATGCGACCATGTTTTGTTTGGCTTGGCACAAGGAAAGAATTAAAAACAACTACTTTGCTAGCTATAGTATCTTGGAGGATCGTACGGGCTGCTCCCCCTCCCGTACGGACGGGCCGACATGGCAGATTCCCCTGTGACGTGGCGGACGTGCGGTGACGTGGCGCTCACGCGGCGTGCTGGCGTGTGAAGGCGCAGAGTGACTTGCAGCCGTGGCTCCCAGCGCACGGGACGATTCTCATGAAGAAACACGCGCGCCGCCGCCGCCGTCGTCTTTGTTTCGCTGCCTGGAAAGTGGGAAAAGAAAAGAATGAGAGAATGACAAAAAACATGCGAAGAACTTCTAGAGAAATGCAAAGCAAAACTAGAATTGGTCTTGGTTACCTTCTTCTCTTCTTTCCTGCGTCGCTTTTCCTCGTCTGACCTTGGCGACGATCGCCAGCAGCACAGTAGCCGCCGGTTGGACTTTGTGCGGGATTCCAGCCTCCTGGAACAAGGGAAGCGTTACGAGAAACCAAAAAATTAAAACAATGGAACTCACAGGTTGGCGTGCTCGAAGCCTGCTTCTCTTGGAGTTAAAACTTCCGGACCAAGGTGCCTCACTTTCTGGAACTTGAGATCGTACTGCGAGGCCTGGCTATGGCTGTGGCTTTCTCGCTCCGAGAGATTGGCTAGCGTCGGTCCCTGTCGCTGGATCACCAAGCCCAGTGGAGCTCTACCGGGTGGAGCCGAGCTCCATTCTTTCCCTGCCGAGTAGTACGAAGGATCCGAGGGAGTTATCGATGGTGTGCTCTGTCGAGCCCAGGCAGTTTCCAGGCGCTCTTCTTCGATTCCCTGAGGACGCTGCTGAGAGTGTTGACTTGGTGACGTTTCTCCGTCTCGCTTGACACCGAAACCGGGCTTTCGGTGGAGATGGTCACCGCGAAGTGGATGCAGTGAAACGCGTTTCTTATCGTGCTCGAGTAGCTTTGACGCCAGTTTGATTTGAACCTCCACGGGACAACCCAGTGACGACTGAAACGCATGGCTTATACGTGATCTTGACTTTTCAGCCTTGGCCTTCTGTTTGGAATGCTGGAACTCGATTTCAACCGTAGCTTGCACTGCCATCCAGCATTGACACTGCTGTCAAGGAAAGATAAATGTCGTATTGCCAGATGCGTACCTTCTTGCATCGATAAGGATATCAATTTTCCGTGACGAAGCAAATGCTTCAAGGATTTGGACCGGCTGTTCTTCAGTGCTTTTTGCCAGACGTCGTCCAGCCTTTTTTGATCAAAAGCACAAGTGTCGTGTCCTGCAGGACAGCGAATAGGTGTTACTAGAAAATAGATATCATCAACTTGCATCAATACCGTCGTTGGTGGACGCCGTTTGAACGTATGGGTGTATCCTTGCTTCCGGCACAGTGGACAAGCTCTTGTTGGCCCAAGGTACCTCCGGTTTTGCAAATACCGCTGTGTCATCCACCGGATTTTCAAAGTGCTCGTGTTCCGGTTCCCACCCTTGCTTGAGTGCTCCTGAATCTGATTCGATCGTTTCTTTCTCGCTTGTGTCGTTGCCAACGAGACTCTGAGTCGCACTCGAGCCGCTAGAACTTGCTGGAAATATATATGCTCGATCTGGTGCGAACTGAAGAATAGCAGCTGTTAGCCAGGTAGTTTGATCGCTTGAAGCCCGGACTTGCTTCTCCGCTTCAGAAAGTATTTTTAAAGCCTGTCGTAGCCTCTCCAAGTCTTCTTTGCTCACTGTTGATAAAAAAAGACGCACGTCAGCATCAACTCAAGAAGAAAACAAAGGACTCACACGCAATTTTGTGAAAAAAACGCCTCTTTCGTTGAGTTAAAACCGGTTTGTAGCTCCCCGCAAGCATGTCCGTGATAAGAGTAGCTAGTTGCGACATGAGAGCGAGAGGCTCGACACCAGATTCCAGCAGATTCCTCACACTTTTCACGGTGCTCACGGTATCTCCGGAAAGAGCAAAATCCAGCAAATCCATCAGCTTGTCATCGGGAAGGAGCCCAACCTGGAGAAGTATAACGTTATATCAATTTTCCAGCCCACCAGCCAACTAACCTCTCGTTAACTTACAAGTTCTTGCAATGTAGACAGTGTCACTACTTGTCCCAAAAGGCCAAGCTGGTCGAGGGTCATTTCCGCGTCCCTGAGTGATCCATTCGACCTCGACGCAATGAGTTCAAGAGCTTCTATCTCGATGTCGATGTTTTCTTTCGTCGCCAGCTTCTGCAGCCTGCTGATAATGTCCGGGTCCTTGAGCTTGGTAAACGGATACTTTTGGCACCTTGAACCCAGCGTCCGTGGTAGCTGCTCTGGGTTGCTCGTTATCAAAATCACGATCGAGTTCCCCGGAAGCTCTTCCATGCCTTTCAGGAAGAAATTCCATGACTCGGCAGTCAGAGTGTGAACTTCGTCCACGACCGAAAGCCTGTATCGACCAGAGGAGGGAGGTAGAATCGCAACTTCCAAGAGCTCCTTCACGCTGCCTAGGCCGTTGAATCTCGAGGCGTCGAATTCTCGAACGTCCAAGCTCTTGCCAAGGTTCAGCGCAACGCACTCCCGGCACAGGCCACACGGTCTGAGCTCCTCGGAGGAAAGGCAGTTCAAAGCAGCAGCGAAAACCCGAGCTGCGGAGCTCTTGCCTGTGCCCCGCGGACCTTGAAACAGATAGAGCGAAACGATGCGTCCTCTAAGAACCGCATTTGCGAGCGACTGCATCACCACGTTCTGGCCAACCATGTCTCGAAACGTCTTTGGCCGGTATTTGTAGCTTAAGCTTTTGTTCTGCCTAAAATCACTGCCACCACCTTCTACCACCCTTCGCTCGGATATCCAGCCCAGCCGTTCTCGCAACCTTGCCTGGAGAGCTTCCGTCGTAACTTGAGACCTCCCTTTCGGTGCTAAAATACCCCTCGGGTTTAATTCTCCTCTCGCCGCTACGACATTGTCGCTGTCAACTTCTACTGACGAAGCAGCGACGTCACCACTTACGGATGCCTCTGGTTCTGTCAAAAGTGGAAGAGCCTCAGCGTCCGAGTTTCCGGCAGAAGAATACGATAGACAGTCCTGCTGGAACATAGCCGTAGCGAGTTCCCGGCCTGACTCGGACTGGCTTCTTGAGAGCGTATGCTCTCCAGCCTTCCTCCTTGCTAAAACTTCCGGACGAAGCATTTTACCCGTGCTGTCGAGGAAACCTTTTCCCTTCGGTTTCTGGCCCAGACGGGACCAGTTCCACGGTATCCCACACCCGTGCTTTGGTTCTTGCGAGCACTCCAACTCATCTTCGTTGGTTCCTGTATAGTGGTAGTGCTGTTGACCGGGATCTGGGAAGCTGAAGGCTCTCGTGTTAGCAATTTCTCGTGAGACAACTGGAGACCTGCTTTTGTTGGAAATATCTCTGGACGACAGCAACGGAGAATGTGACCGGGACCTTGCGTTTACTTTCTGGACCTGTTGCTTCTCCTCTACCTCATCCTCGGCCGATGCTTCCGGATCACTCTCAAAAGAGTTATTCTTGCTTTTTCTTCTCGGAGCAGCAGGACCAGCAGCGAACTTGAGGAGAATGCTGGGATCGTCGTAGACACCCAGAGACAGAGGAGAAGGGGTCTGTCCCTGTACATTCGTAGCTAAAGTCTGCTGCTGCTGCTGGAGTTGAGTAACAATCTTCCTAGAGAGGCTTCCACTTCCATGGCTGCCAAGTGAGGACCTATCCAGGTGAACTTTCCTGTTTCGCTTTGTAACTTTGGTCAAGGGGTCTTGATCTTCGGACACCGCTGCCGACTTGTAAGACTCTCCACCCCTGTTAGCCTCAAAATTACTACTTCCTGTCTGTGAGTCATTCCTGTGCTCCTGCTGCTGGTCAGTAGCTACTGTACTCTTATCTTTACCTCGCAAGGCCTGCTCCAGCTTCCGTGTTCCTGGACTGGAGCCTTTCATCAGCGGCGACTTAAGGATGGAGCTGGTGGAAGGGTCCCTGAGCGAACGGGTTCGGCTGAGAGCTGTAAGTTCCCTCATCAGAGGGAGGCCCGCTGCTGCTACTCCACCGGCACTCAGGTGGTGCCTTGCTTCCACCGTCATCTTGTGCCTCTGCACATGAAACCGATTTCTCAGATGAATACAATTTGTCAAGTGCACATGCTTGTCCAGATGAGACGACCGAGACTCAGATCCATGACTACTTCCTGTTCCAGCGGCCGCTCTACTTGGCATTGTCAAACACATGCATGAAGCAGGAGCGGGGATAGCAGTAGCATTGGATCTGCTGGGACCTTCCATTACCAAAGAATCACAGTCAGAATCAGGAGAGGCCGCAAGTGAAATAGAATTCGGTGAGCACAGCCTGGATAGAGAAATGCAAGACATTTTCTTTTCCCAGGCAGGTCAAGCAAAGCTCCTCCTTTCAATGCTTTTATGATGCACTATGAGGAATCTATTATCCTCCAAAATGCTGCCTTTTTGGGCCTTTGGATGCTGATTCCACCACTGGGCAGTGGTGTGCGTCCTCTGGTAATGCTGTCTCTCTACGGCAGCAATGCTTTCTTCCGGCAATTTCCCGTTCAGTCGCTCACTATAGCTACACACGGCTTGCTTTCAAGACAACACACGCATCCACTCACCACTCACAACAGACAAGAGGGACTCTCCTGAAATCAATGGGTACTAGAAACATTATCTACGACCATGTAAGGATGCACAACGCACAGGCAGGCTAAGTATCCAACCAGCTAGCAATATTGATGCCCAAAACATGCACACAGAGAGTAGGCTCAGCGCGCGGCGAGGCTAATGAATTCTGGAAACAAGAAGCGAGGTACAAAGCGGAAGAACAATGATTGTTGTCGTTCCAATGAGCTGGCTTTCATCAAGAAGAGGAAGTTCAAGCTGGGGTGAAGAGGAAGGAAGAAACAAAGGAATCTCATTCTCGCGAATGTCAAGGAACGCAAAAATAAGACAAAAGGAGAAAAGAAATCACAGGGAGAGCTTTCAATGTTGGGAATGTTACTGACTTCCTTCTCTCCCAGAAACCCGTCTTGCACACATAAATCCACCGCATCCGTGCGAGAGGAAAGACAAACCATTCCCGGGAACAGGCAGCCCACTCTTGGAAAACATAACATATGAAATCTTTGATGGGCTCTGGATGCGAGGAGAAAAGCTAACTGGTGAACAGCAAACGGAAACGACTTTGGCGGCAAGTTGAAGAAAAAAGCAACGCAGGGATGAAGGAAAGAGTAAAGTATAAGACAATGCCCCGACAGCCCAAGAAGAAATCGAATACAAAAAATGCCAAGCACTAGAGTGGACAAGAAAACAAAATATTAATCAATCATAGTATCGCTCGAATCCAACAAAGGAGAGTACTTGGTCATAGCGCTAGAGCGAGCAACAACCAAAGCAAAAAAAAATATAGCAAATCCACAGAACAAAAAACAAAAGGAGAAGGTTCTAGCTTACGAAAGCAACCGGATTCGCAAGGAATCGCAGAAAAGCAAGCTGGATTTCTAAATGCAGCGGCAGCACGAAGCAAGAATCGATGGAATCCCTCATGATTACCTGAAAGCCAGAAGGATTTCGCGAAGAATTGCTCCCCACGCGCGCTGCCGCCCTCGCATTCGCGCCTGCGCGCACGATCGCCTCGCCCTAAACCCCAAACCCTAAGCACAGGGCGCGACGAGCAAAAGAGGAGATTGGAATGCCACACTCCCCGGCCAGCAATAGAGTTTTCCCACCCATTTTTGCACACATAGTTTTGCCATCCAACGGTAGATATAGCATGGCCATGGGCGTCACCCATCATGACATATGCCACGCGTCAAAGCCTGGCATGGGTGTGACCATGCATGTACATCAGCCAAACGGAACAAAACCGAGTTTTCCGTCAGTCTGCTCATCTCCTCTGACGGCGACAAACGACGGCGGGGGATTGCTGTCTCACGTGCTAAAGCACGTCCGTAGAATCGTACGCTGATACGCTGGTTAATACGTCTCTGGCGTAGTTGAAGACATAGCTCCTCGACAGGTTATAAACACCAATTTTTCTTGCCGCTTGCAAGAACTGCTTATAGCTACTTAGCTAACTGCTAAACAATCTACTACTGCAACTATCCTAGTGGTTTAAATGAATTTCTTCCGAGGAGGTGGGGTGAGAGAGATCTGCATGGAAGTGGACACTTCCAGCCAGCTAGCTAAGGTCAATTTTGGAAGCGTAGCTAAGGGCTTTAAGCGTAGGTTGAAAGAGCTAGGCTTGCTGTGTAAAAGTATAGTAGAGGGTACATTGTCAGTGGCTGACTAAATGGTTTGAAAGAGGGGCCTAGTACAACATTCTGACTTTTAAATAAAATTTTAAACCATTCAGAATAAAAAATTATAATTGTTTTTAATATTTTTGTAAATATAGTTATATAAAGGACAATCCAGTAATTAAAATTAGTTATATATATATTTATATATATATATATATGCTGATTTTTCTAACTAATAAATCAATTGTATATACTTTTTCTTATGAATTAATTTACTAAGTTTTATAAAAATGATATTAAACTTATACAATTAAATCAATCCATGACTATCACTGCTAATGCTTTGAGAGGTTTGTTATTCTTACATTTATTTTAAAACGAAATTGTAAGTAAAAAGACATTAAATAGAAACCTAATTCAAACCTTAGTTCATACCTATAAATTCTTGAGAATATGCAAGATAATAGAGTAAACCAAGAAAAATAATATTTAAGATAAAAGCGGACCCGCTGACGTGGCAGAACACGCTGACATGGCGGGACAGTGCTTTGGTGGAACGCTGACGTGGCGAGACTCTTTGGATACGCTGACGTGGACTCCCAGATGGGGTCTGGTTGAGTTGGGCACTCCCGTGACAGTCTGAGATTATGCTCAATGATCAGTTGAGTTATAACTCTCGGGACATGCTGGGATTGAGCTCAGACTCTTAGGGACTCTTGGGACCACTTGAAGCGACCTAGAGTGGACCACTCCCTGGACTGTTTGAGATAATTTTAGAGTGCTGGTTGAGTCTGAGAGTGAAACCAGAGAAACTCTGGTGGAGGCTCATAGCGGGATTGGCCTGGCACTCTGAAGTAATAACAGAGCTCCGGTTGAGTTTGGAACTCATGAAACACTCTTAAGAAATTCCAGAGCTTCAAGTTGAGGCAAAGGTTCCCTGAACACTTTGTGAATTTGAGAAACTCCGGTTGAGTAGGACCCCTGAAATTCTGTCTGTTTAGTTTGTTTAATAGACAGGTGATGCTGAAAGTAAAGTATCAGTCTTGAGGAAACAAACTAGAATCCTGATTTTTACTTTTTAAAAAAAATTATTTTTCCTTGTAAGGAGTTAGGAACAGTAGAGAACTCAGCGAGGAAGGCAGATGGATTTCCTGAAAAGGAGTTACCTCCCAAGGCCGTTCGTGCTGAGAACTAAGATGAGACTTTTGAAAGCACCATTTTACAAGACTGTTCAGTATAAAGAAGGAAGCACTCGGGATTGATCTTCTTCTATTTGAGACTGATCAGGTATAAAGTGAAAAGGTGGTGGCAATGAGGAGGAGGCTATTTTAGCTGAATGCTTGGAGCCTTTAACGCGCCATGAGCATAAGAGAAAGAAACAAGGCCAGTCGAATATTTTTAACTGAGGGACTTTGTTATCGAGTTCGAGCAGCTATGATCAAGAGACAAGGTGTTACAACTATTTTCAGTTACAAGTTAGCTCCAGTTTGAGGAGATCAATTAGCTCAGCTCTCTCTAAGCTCCGCCTGTACCTGGATAGTTTAACTCCCCAATAACGGTTTGGGAAGCCCACTGGCCTTGGCCCCGGACTTATCACACAGCTACACTGTGTTGCCAAGAGTCCTTGAGCAATTGGAAAGCAGGCAGTGCCAGAAAATCACTTCTGGAAACCACCTCGTCACACTCTCTAAATAGCTTTAGTTTAGTACCTTTTGTGGATGAGTAGTATAACCCCTTATACCCACTAATACTTCCGGTTACCCCTTCCAGTCCCACAGCCTGCAGACCACACGTTTTAGGCTCCAACATATTTTCCTGACACATCAGCTTGTATGAGGAGGTAAGCAAACGACAACCATGCCCCTGTCTGCTGCGTAATTCAATTCGTCCTCAGTAATGTGTGATTTGTGTCCATCACAGATGAGCAGAAGAGGATGAAGGAGAAAAACTCCCCCAGCGATCGAATTCTCTCTGTGTGCCAGGAACTCAACAAATACTTCAGCCTTCATCCATCCGTTCTCTTGCATTGCAAAGGAAGCTTCAGGCTCACAATCTTCATCCACGCAATCTGCCGACGTTTCCCCTTGAAGATATAAATTTTTTGCAAACGACCGCCGTCTGCCAGGATTGCTGCGACAACAGTAATTCTTTTTCTTTCGTTGCATCCGATACTGGTGACTTGTGTGCAGCCTCTCTGAGCGAGTACCCAACAACCTTGCTCTTTCTCGCCCGAAATTCAGCCCTGTTTCATCAAAGTTCAGGATCTGGCTCAGAGGGAATTCACCTTGCTGTAGCACTGCACGGTAGCGAAGGAAGAAAGGCTCAATGGTCCAGGGCACAATCGTTGCTGCACGTCTCTGCTCCACAGTTTCGGTTGATCTCAGAGTTAGGCCACGGTAACAGCTCCGGAAACTTAACATACTCCAGTTCCAGCAGCACAAACACCATCCCATGATCTCCCTGCAGAAGCGCAAAGTAACGAGTCAGTCCCGCCTACTACTCTTGCAGACTGGCTCTACGGACGCACCACCACAAAAAGCAAAGGCCTTTCTGTGATGTTCAGCGACGAAAAGGAGGGCGTTATCGTGGACTGGATTAAGGAGCGCGTACGTTTGGGCTGGGCACTAACCATCAGGATGGTGAGCTCCAAAGTAGGCGCCAACGCGAAAGGCCTCCCGTTCAAAAAGGGTGTGCCTTCCCGTGGGTGGTGGAGTTGCTTCCGTCGCAGACATCCATTCGGTTGCAAAACTTGGAGTAGCACCACGAGGATCTGGTGTCAGGGAGACGTGGGAAGCCGAAGAGAGCATATTCTGCACGGAAGCGCTTTCCCATGCTCCAGCTGTGAGCAGCAGCAAGGAGTCGATCACAGTTAGGTCTGGAGACAGCCTCCCAGTACTTTGCGGAGTAGAACTCTTTCTCAAGACAGTCACAGGGAAGCATCCCGCATACCTGTTTGCAGATAGCAGTGTAAGTCGCCCACGTCTGCTCGATCTTATGTTTTTTTGTCCTCCACACATTTCTGCCGTGTTTCTCACACTCTTCAGTGGGACTTGCAGAAGATAGAAGATAAAGCTTGGGAAGGCGGTGGTTTTTGAGCTTCCGGAGAAACTCACAAACTGAGCCTGAACAACGTCTGCAGCAGGCCTCGATCGATCGCTTCACGTTCGCCTGTGGAAAGTACACCAGTTGGGGTGCCGATACAGGTGAATTCGTCCTCCCAGTGGTAAGAGCACCAAACTTCTTCGTATCTGGAAAACATCCATGAGGTAGAGTTTTTTTTTAGCTTTGTTACCATTGAGAAAGGTTGAGAAGAATCCAGTCCTGTAGAAGGACCATGCAGTAACGAGAAATGTGTGGGGCAAAGCAAGTTCAGCAATGCATCCACAGCCAACCAGCTTTGAGGTAAAGTAACCTCTATTGTCATTGCAACTCTTCCAGTAAATGCCTTTTGCAAATACTCAGGTGGAACAAGGCTTCAAGAAAGCCAGGTTCAAGAAGCTTGCATTTTCATAATGTGTAGGGATGCCTCTGGATTGTTCAAGACTGCAGTTGCAAGCCACAAGGTACCTGTTGATTTTCATTTTGTTAGACAAAGGGAGAAGAAGGTGGTATCAGTCTTGCCTTTTAAAGACCTGACACATGATTCATTCATGCATGAGGTCAAGGGTATCCATTGCAGTTCATATAGAATTTGCATTGTGAATGCATGGAATATAGAAATGGAATATGTAAATGTGCATATTAATTAGCTTAAAAACCTTAATTTATGTATGGTTTGGCTTGAAACTAATTTAATGGATATCAAAATCCCACTACATTAATATTAATATACAATCTTCCATTTGGAACAATGGAAGACAATCAAAGTGAATAAACCGAGATTTGAAGGAACATCAGGAAAAGGCATCAGTGGATCTATACGTGGTGTTAATTATTCTTGATCCTTTTATACAAAACGTTTTAGCTGTTGCACATATACAATTTTTAAAGAATTGATCTATTGGATGTTATGCCAAACCTCATAAACTTGTAATCCAATTTGTTGCAACATTTGATATAATTCCTTCCACTAAACAAAGAGCCCTTTAGACAAACCATGTACTTTAAGATTGGGAAAACGAATTAACATAAACATTGTATCCCATAAGTGGATGATAATGGAAATTATAATGTTATTGTTGTCCCATTTGTATGTAGTTCAAGTGTTCAGTAGACTCTACTCAAATTAATGGAAGAATGTTCATCAAATACTAATCCCAAGACTTAGCATTGATAACTAATGGCAATTGCAATGGTAAACTCAATTATGTTAGTAATATCAGATCATGACCATATAGGAGTTTATATGGTGAAGCATTAATAAAACTTTGCATCCTTGTGACATATCTATACCGAAGATACGGCAAATAACCATCTTAATCCGAATGCTAAAAGTTTATATACTTTGTAATCATCACTTTGAAGGTCCGAACAACCCATTCTACCAACCTATTTGATGTGGATGATAAACTTTTATGAAAGTGTGGTGTATCCTCAATTAAGACGTTAAAATGTGAAATGCCTCAGTCATAAATGCGGGACCATTATTCGAAAGAATTCGTTCTAGACAGTAATGATGAAACACCACTTAATTAAGGAGGAACTATCCAACAACAATTATAGATGCACTAGTAAGAGTTTTAATTTCCACCTAGTAGTCTGAAACAATAATAATATACTTATTGCCAACAATCGACCAAGGAAAAGACTCTATTAAATCAAATGCCACCAACTCAAATAAATGGAAAACTATAATTGACTCTAACTGTCTTTCTACAACATGAGGGAGCTAAACGCAGTTATGCACATACTGAATAATATCACATCGTATCTCTGGCTAATAGAGAGACGTATGCAACTTTTCAGTCACACAATGATATTTTATATGCTTGCCTAAAATAGGAGAATCATGGTAAGCATGAAGAAAATATGGAATAAAGATCAAAAGCACCACCAACTTTAAATGAATATTAGGAGAAGGTCATTCTTAAGGTGATATTAAGAATGTAAATGCCAAAATGGCAAATCATCAGTAAATGATTTAAGATTCTCAAACCTATTATGAAACTTTTGGATTTATGGCTCAACCTTTTGAGCCTCATGAACCTTATTAAAAGAAGGTAAATTTTGTTCCATACATTATGAACACTATATATCAAATACAACAACCACTCATAACATAGAATCTTGGTCCAAAAAATCCACAAATGCTAGAATAATAGACTTGTCAAAAATATGAGAAGAGAATGAAGAAAAAAGAGAAGCTCGATAAAGGGATTAACATTAGTCATAGAACTCCTTAGGTGATGAATAACATCGAAATTATATATTTAAAGTTTCAAAGCTTATCGAGCAATACAACTAACCAAATTCTTTCATTTCAATAATGAAGTAACTGCAACATAATTAACTTCTAGTAATGTCCAAGAACTATATAAATAAACATAAAGTTTCTCACAACCCCAACCTACTACTAAACACTTCTTCTTTATCGTGGAGTAATTCACTTCCATCAATTATTATGTACAGTTGATATATATAATGGGACGGCACTGATTAAGCACACTCGGGCTCTCTTGCATTAACAAACCTCCAAGACCTATACTAGAAGCATCCATGTGCAAAATAAAAGGTCAAATGTAGTTATGTACATAAAAACTAAAAGAGTCATCAATAGTTCTTTAAGATCCATAAACGCTTGCTCATAGTCCACAAACCAAATGAAAAACGACATTCACGACTTCAGCAACCCTCGCAACGGTGTAGTGTGATAAAAAAGATGATCAACAAAATGACCAAGATACTACACTTTGCATAAGAAGCATTGTGCATTATTCACACACTTTGGAATAAGGAACTTTAAAATAGCCATAAGTTTATCAAGATCAATTTGCAAACCCTTATAAGAAATATTGTAACTAAGATAAGTCATATCCTTAGATCTAAACACACATTTCAACCACTTAAACTTTAAACCAACTTCCTGTAGCCAATCTAACACCTTACAAATATCATAGACATGTTTCTCCCACATCCTATTCAAGTGGATCAAGACATCATTGATCAAGTCAGTAGTTACCTTTAATATATCTTAAAAAACTTCATCCATCATCTGTTAGAAAGTTATTAGAGCATTGTTTAAACCAAATGGCATTATCAAGAATTTATACAAACCAAAGGGTGTAAGAAAAATAGTCTTGGGAATATCTTTCTCAACTATCAGCACTTACCAGATTCCAGAAGCAAAATGTAATTTGGTGAACCCTCCCCAAACAATCTAAGAGATCAACAGTGTGAGGAAAAGGGTACACATTTAAAATTGTCACTTCATTTAACAAACGATAATTAATGCAGAAACAAATACTTCTAATAGGCTTTATCATAAAAAAGTTCACATGCCCAAAAACTTTGCAACTTTTAAATAACACTATTTTTCAATATCTTCTTGATATTTGGACGTAGAATCTTGATCGCTTATGGTGACTGACTATGAATAGGAACTTTGATTAGATGAGCATCCCTAGTTGGAATAAGATGATATATTGCAATCTTGGCTCCAAACGATAGGTCAAATTCAAAAAGACAGGCATACTCCTTCATGAGCTGATCAATTACTACAACATAAAGACTATTGAGGGGATCAGAAGAGGGAATAGAGGAATAAAATGGAAATATAAAATAAAGTAATGAGAAAACAAAAGTGATGAAGCAAAAGTAAAAGTAGAGGGATAAAGAAGAACATAAGTGAGAGGAATAAAAGAAATAGAAGCTTCAAAGTCACACTTGGTAATTGTGCCGTAACCAATCCATACCAAGGATGAAGTTAAAAGCTTGATTCGGCACCACCCGTAATGACTTCAACTCAACTTCAAGATTACCCACATGCATAACTAGGTCTGCCTCATCTCGTGCATATACGTGTGTATGGTTGTTGCCATAAAAAATGAAAATTAGCTTTGCCATACAGCGTAAATTTAAATGGCAATATGTGGTAGTAAATTGAGTAATAAAGGATAAACTCAAGCTTATATCAACCAATACAGAGAGAATAATAGGAGACCTCTTATTATAAAAGTGAGCTTGGAAAGTAAACACTGGATTAATTGGTGCCAAGTGAACCCCTTAATAATACTCCTAAAAGAAATATGGAGGGATTAATGATTTTTTCGCATAAGAACCTTAACTCCTCATTTGCCGGAAGCATCTCGGTGTCCAAACCTTCTACTACAACAACACTAACAGGATGTTATTAACACTAAGGTCTTCACCCAGAAAATGGAGGCTATTAATCTAGAAAACGTTAACAACAACGATAAGTGTGATTAACTTCATCACACACCTAATAGTAGACATTACAGCCACAATTACATCCTCACCCTTGTCCTTGAACTCGAGTAGTAATAGTATCAACCTC